AACATATGCTTCATAACTTAAACTAGCAGACTGGCAAGAACAACACTCACAAGTTTACAGTCATTTGGTATGAAATTCACCCAATCTTGTGCCTCAACACAGGGGTGTCTACTTCCTTCTAATATAATATCTCCAACATCCTGTGGTAGCCAACATGAAAAAAGCATAATGAATTGCTCCTACACTTTCTAAACATCACAAAAAAAAAAAAAAAAATGAATGCACGCTTACTGATGGAGTTATGTCTGGCCTAGTATAGGGAGTAGGACAGCTTGTAGCCAAGTCAGCAAAACCAAGCAAAACATCGAGTTCAGCTAGCAATGCGGCTAAAGACTCAAATACCTGCATATTCAAAACATCTTTAATGCATAGATCTATCCTAAGAAAGAGGAAAACAGATAAATAGATCATGCCATACCTCAGAAAATGTAGCGGCAGTCTGAACCACTCGCTGTACTAGTTCCTTTTGGCAATTTTTGTACTCTTCAAGTATCCTTTGATACTGATCCCCTAATTTTTTGAGTTTTGAATTTGTAAATTTGACACCATCCTTTCGTGTTTCTAGTACAATAAACTGTGTAGTAAGCTTTTTTCTAATTTTTGGTTCCTCCTTCTTTGTTATCCTAAATACATGTCCAAATTGTGTACCCTTTTCTAGCTTTAGAACTTTATCAGTGAGATCAAGATCATCAGCAGCTTTTTTATGAAGACTATCTATATTGCTCTCAAGTGACTCTTGTTCCTCTTTCAGTTCAAGAAGCCTTGAATCATAACCAGATGAGATCATATATTCACCATTCTCAAGTTGATCAAGGTCAACAGAAGTCTCAACAAGGGCCACAAACTTGTTTAGGTGATCATCATCACTACATATTCCAAGGGGCTCGAAAAACCTTTCCTTGATCAGGGGGGAGAATTGCCCTTCATATTTCTCAAGAGCACTTTTTATGTATGGAAGTCTTATGCTTGACTGGAAAGCACAAACAAAAAGACATATAAATACAAAGATCTATATGCAAGAAAGCAATTATAGGAATTGCAAGTATAAATATAAATGAAAAAGGCCCTCATAAATTACAAATAGCAGTAATCTAATCTAAACAAATTTTAGGCTCTTTCAATACAATGATGTTAAATTTTAATAATTTAAATACAAAACAAGCAAAAGTTAAAATGTTCAAATAAAAGTAATGAACTGTGCCAACAAATATTGCAAGACAATGAAAATAAAATAAGAATTTGCCAACCTGATAAAGTTTTACAACATGATGTAAACCAGCTTTTTTCTTCTGAAGATTGCGTGTTAATCTATCTATATCAGATATTCTTTTTAGATGTTGTCTAAGCTCCTGACAAAGTTCTATATCCTCCACAAAAGCTTGTACCAAGTTCAGCCGATCATTTATTTCATTAACATCCAATAAAGGCTGTTTCAGCCACATGTGAAGCAATCGTTTTCCCATTCCGGCAGTACAGGTTCTATTCATCAGACCAAATAAGCTAAAATTTTTGTTAGCATCATTTTTGCTCTCCATAACATTTAATGCTCTCATAGCAGCAGAGTCTAACCTCATGCAACTGTCAAGATTATACGGCTTAATAGTAAAATTTCCATAATTGGTTTCATCTGAAAGCATTTCTGCATAAGATAATAAGGCTTCCAAAGCAGCAGGAGCAATTTCAAGTCCTGAAACTAGATCACGAACAGGCTCAATCGAACCTTTTACAAGCCTTCCAAGATCTGGCACCAAATCCCTTGCCTTGAACTCATTTTTTTTTCCTTTCAGTTACCATCACACCACATCTTGATAATGCATCAAGCAACCCCCTTCCTTCAGTAGACTTCGCAACATCCACTGGGAGAAGGCATTCTCTGCAACCAAGCCCTACCAGAGCTGATTCCACATTTGTGAATTGGCTATCATCAAGAAATTCAGCCAAACCAACCACTCTCTTGGTAAGGTCAATGTAACCCAATCCAATAGTACAACCATTTTCCCTGAAGTTCGGTAACAATGCAACAGTTGCAGGAGAATCTTGCATTTCATTATTTGCAAATAGAATGTCTTCAAAACTTCCTAAGTTTCCTGGACTCCCACTCTTCACAAGCCTACAGTTAGAGCCACTACCCTCATAAAGCTCAATTGTGCGGTCTGTCCTTTCTAAGAGTAAATCACGAGCAATTGTTTCGAACATGCTTTTACTTACAGTTACGCTGGATAAGCTATCAGAACCATTACCTAATTGTCTAAGGGCAGTGGTAGTGTGGTAATAAGTTTTTGCGACAAAAGCTGCATTTTCTCCATGGGCAGTAAAATAATCCTGTTTCAAGTGCAGAATTTCTTAGTCCAAGGTTGATAATAGACCAATCCTAACAGTCATTTACAATGTACCAAGAAAAAAAAAAGACTTTAAGAATGAAAATCAACTTCAGGAGTATTGGTGTATGAAGCAAAGATGAGAGGGTCATGCTTTTAATGTTCACGGATTACAAATTTAACATGCTTATCATTTAATACTATTTACTTTACATGCATGACCAAGCAAGGTAGAGGTAAATGCATCTACAAGTTCCTACATCCAAAATGCAAGCACTGTTAAAAGCATAATGTGTAAGGATGGATTTTGCTCTAATTATGATCCCAGACTTTGCAAGAGTATACAGGAAATACAGCTTGAATATTTTTCCTTCACAGCTTTAGATAGAAGTTTTGGAAAAATCAGCACTTGAAATAAGTATCCGTCTAAATTTTGTAGAACACAAAGCACTTCGACTAAATAAATAAGTATCCCTTGATAATTTATAAAGAATAGATTCAATGACTAACTGATAATTAGAAACCCACTTATTATGACTAAAATCGAAACCATTAAGTGAAGGACCAATTATACAAAAGATGATAATTGAGAATGTCGTTAGTTTGCACTCAAATCTGTTGTTAGATAACTAAGTCACCAACAATCAACGAAAAAACAATACTTAATCGGCATTTCTATAACGGCCATTTAAGTGAAATTGGGAATTTTTGCAATTGGGTTATAATGAGTTTGATTGTGTTCAAAAGTCATAAGGATCATCTTACTAAAAAAAAAATAATGTACAAGGAGTAAAAATAATCAAATGAATAATAATAACACCTATATTCTTTATGGAAAACCTAAAATAGCACAAACTAGTGACAATCAGTGTAAAACCCTAACAATTCTGGAGATAGTAAAAACATAGAACTAACCCGACGATCAAAAAACCGAACAGCTCGAGAATCCTGGAAGCAAAACAGATTAACCTTCATAAAAACACTAAAAAAAATACATAATTTAGAAGAAATCGAAATAATTAGACAAAATAAGGCTCACCTGAGGTAGGGTTTTGAAAAATGATAGAAACCCTTGAGCCTGCTTTGCATCTAAAATTGATATAAAAAATTACATCAAGTGAAATAATTCATTCAGAAATCATTCAATTAAAAATCAAAATAGCATATATTACACAGTACAAAACCCAGAAAATTAAGAATGTAAAACAATTTTAAAAAAAGGGGAAGAACAAAAACAGAATTAGGGTTTTACCGAGCTTAAGTTCAGGGAGTTATTTTGATCGAGAAAATGCAAATCGTCGTCCATTGATGGTTCTCAGTAGGTTAATTTAGCAGAAGGGAGAAAATGGCGAAAAAAGTCTGAAAATGGAGGGTTGAATTTTGGAAATTGATTTTAGTGGAAGAAGCAAAAGTTTTTATGGAGAAATGGGTCTTTTTTCGTATTGGCGGGAAAAGAAACGGTGTGTTTTCGCGGGCGGGAGCGTAACACACTACCAAATGGTTTTTTTTTTTTTGAAATAAAATTGATTCATAAATAAATTCATACGACATTTACAAAGAGATTCGGATCTAATAAATACATAATAATCGAATCAAATAAAAACATTCCGTAAGCAAAGCTACGATCGTTGTTGCAAATTGTACATTCTTCATACCCTCTTTCATATCGTTATGATTTATACCTTTCATTGGCGAGGGGGTCTATCGATTTGTTGTAGCCGTGCAGAAAATTTCCGTCTGATTCGCTAAATTGTAATTGAAATATTTACCTCTTTTTCGATCTCGCACAAAATTTTATCCATGAAACAACTCTATAGCAATCCATAAAATAAAAAAGCAAATCCTCCCTCAAAAGAGAGAAAAAAACCCGGTCTTTCAAAGGAGCCAATTCTTCCTAAAACAATAGAAAAGGAAGATTTATTAGTAACCTAAAACAATTGAAAAGGAAGAATTATTATAAACCTAAATCTTCCTAAAGAAAAAAAAAACCCTGTCTTTCGAGTGAGAAATATTCCTCCTAGAAGAGGAAGAATTATTATAAACCTAAAACAATATAAAAAGCACACAAAAACAAACAATTGGGGCTTTCCACCGATAAAAATCAATGGAAGCCCCTCCAAAATTCAACAATGAAGACTAGGGTTTTAGATTGAGAAGAGAGTAAAGAGAGGCTAGTGTACTCACTACCACCTCATGGATTCTTTCTTTATGGATTCTTTTTTTATAAATCACATTTTTTAGTTACTCCCTCCGTGTTTTAGGTTCTGTTCACATTTACTGAACTGAGTTGAACTGAACTGAACTGATTGGAGCTGAACTGAATATTTTATGAGAGGGGAAAATTAAGAGCTGAACTGAACTGAAATGAAATCTTTACCCCTTAAAAAGTCCCAAGCACCAGGACTGTAGTGAGTTTTATTGTTCCTTAGGAACAACGGATTGACGCCCTTGCCCTTAGCCCCTGAACTGGATTGCCTAAATTTCCAGGGCTATTTTAGTCTTTGTGTATTAGCATGCTATCTGTCATATGTCGGCTGACGCGTGTCCTTGTCTCCCCTGCTATTAGCATCTTTGCCTTTCATCTTCTTCATTTCATTTTAATCTTCTTCCTTTCGTTCTTTGTTAGGTATTGTCTTTGCTTTAGGCTTTTTTTTCTTTCCTTTTTTTTTGTGTTGTGTTTTCCTTATAACTTCTTTGGTTTTTGCAGCTGTTATTCATGGAGTGGTTTGATGGAGTTTCTTTGGTCGCAGCTTTGGATTTGGTTGTTTCACAGTGTGAGGTTTGTCTAATTATTACTTTGCTTGTTATTGAAAATTATTTTAGTTATTGTTGTGTTTGATGAGTAACAGTGTGAATTGTGTGATTTAACAAATTAATTAGGCAATTAATTCATTGTTAATATGCAAAAGTGGGTTAGTAATTTACACTGTTGAAGCATAGTGTGGGATGAATTTTAAAATTGATGAAATGTGTACTCTTTGTCCTTTCATTTGGTCAGTTTTAAAATTCAATCTTCAAATTGGAATAATTTATATGGCATATGTTTTTCTCTAAATAAAATATGTAGAATGTGTCCTTTTATGTGGTGTAGATTTTTTAGATGGTTAAGATATGCTGGATATGTCCTTTAATTTATTTTTTCTTTTTTGATAATAATAATATATAATTAAATAATGTATGTATATATATATTGTATCTTGCCTTTAGTGTGGTTTATTTTTAGTTTCTTCCTCTCCTTATTATCCTGTCACTGTAAAGGTTGGTTCTATGAATATGTATTTTTCTAATAATGGTGGAATTGTACAGACAGAAATGAATACTGGCTTAATGATTTATGAAATACAGTATTGCTTAAACTTACCGGAACTATAGTAGATCTGAGATTACTAAACTTGCAGTTCTACATTACTTAAATAGTTTACAGTTTTTCATTGATGGACTGTTGGCTCTATTTTTCCTTACCTTAATATCTTTGTGCTATTTTGGATTTAGTCAGCTAGCTAACATCTTCATTTTCTGTTTTTTTTTTTTTTATGTGGGGGTTTGTTTTTTTTTTTTTTTGTTTTTGTTTTTTTTTTTTTGGGGTTGTGGGGGAAAAAAATGTATTATAATAAAAAATTGTAGGTTTTTGCAACTGGAGCTATTTGTGCTGTTACAATTACTTACTTCTATTATTGGTAAGTATATTTAGTAAAATTTGGATTAGAATTAATATAATGCTTGAGTTTTTTTAAATATGTTATGCTAGCTGTTATAGTTTAATAGTTGTTTTAGTTTAGAGGATATGTGTTTGTTTAATTTTATTTTTGCCGGTTACAGGTTATGGCTATTCAGTCCAACAGAATTGCCATTCCATTTCGACCTCTTTTAGGTCAAATGGTTGATTTTTCTGAACCTGTTTATGATTTCATAGACAAGGCTAGGAACAATGCCTGTGTTCGTGTTAAGACTGAGAATGGCAAATCTGAATTTGTGTTCTTTGGTGGGGAAGCCAATGCAGTTCATGAGTCACAAGAAAGGGCAGCTCAAAAAGCTGTGCAGAAATTGATGAGCCATTTTGGGGTGCGAGTGAGTGATTTTACCTCTGATAGAGCAAGAATGTATCAGCTATGCAGCAAGCTTTATAAACATAAGGTTGCTGAGTTATGTTCTGAGAAAGGATTAGAAGTGCCTAGCTAATTCACAGAGCAATTTAGGCAAGAAATCTTCTGATGAAGTTCTTCATGTAACGATTGACTTTGTAGGTTTCTTAGGTGTTATTGTTACACAAACAGGTGCAGATGTAAGTCCATTAGAGACTATTTGGGTGAAAGGCTTGGGCTTTGTAGCTTGGTTAACAGTGACTTGTCTGCATAGTAGAGGTGAATTGGAGTGCATATATAGTGATGCTTGTCCTGAAATAAATAGTGCTATGCAGAAGGCTGCTAAGAGAGCTATACATTACTTGGTGACT